CACAAACGGCCTCTTAGAATTGGAAGATGAAGATCTTGCAGGTGCTCTACATGGTGTTTTGGGTCTCGGCACAGATGATGGAACGTACTCTGCGTTCCCACTACATGATGTTACTAGTCGCTCTGCTCGACTTGGTATTCGGTCGGATCATCAGATCGCGCCACATAATCATTTCCGTCCCACGGCTGAGCATGGTCTCAAACCCACTCGGGGTACGGCACATTTGCCGAAAACACGGACAGGGAACAAAAAGAAAAAGAAGAACAATCGTTTTTAGTACACTTCCCGGAAATCAATTTGTATCCCGTCCCTGTTCTGTAATTCTCTCATCTCTTACCGATGCTCTTTATCTGACTTTCTATGCTCCTCGACTGTGGTGAAACTGTGAACAAAAGTGAATAAATCGTTGAAATCGATTTCGGTCCTAACCTGTCTTGTTTCTATCCCCCAAGTGTTTGTGTCGGAGCGCCTTTTTCTAATGTGTTTGTGTTTGGATGTGCGCACGTGTGTATGTATGCGTATGTCTACGTTTATCTCATTCAAGTCGTTTAGACTGTTCGCAACGCTTCACACGGAGATTGGTTGGTTATCCCGGTCACAAACAGTGCGCATCTGAAACACTATTTGCCCATGAGTCATCCGGTATTAGAAGAGATGTCATCTGCTTGGATATCGGGAGTTCGTTATCCGCTTGCGGCCAAATCCGTTTATCCTTGGCGACACGCGGGAGATACGGGTCTTCTGAATTTTTTAACCTGATATGCACGCACTACGTTCGCATTCAAGTTATCACAATTTCTTGCTTTCGTCAGTCGCAGTTAGAGATAGAGGTTTTTGAATTTGGGGTTGATCACAGTTCAATCTTTAATATTGAGGGTAGGGGATAAGATGACCGTGTAATCTTCTTCATCATCAAGTAAAAGGATCAGTTACATGTCTTCGTCTTTCCGCATTCGTTGTAGGTAGCCGACTTGCGGCCGGTTGCACGTTGTGTTCGTCAGCTCCTCCCACTGCTGCTTTAGCAAGTCTCAGAGGTTTTTGCGCTCTCCTCAAAAGTCAACAGACTGCTTGACTGTGGCTTCTACAATGTGAGAAAGTGCCCCAGCTTTCCTTGCTCCGTATGTACAGTAAAATGGGACGGTCATACATAGGCTGTCTGGGGACATACAGGTAATTAAAAGATGAACTGTGGTGATGAGGTTCAATTACATTCATCTGAGGCATCGGTCGATGAAAGCCATTCACGGAAATCAGTGGCGATGTGGAAAACATCAAGGTGAATCTGACCCCGTCATTCACGGTGGGCGCGAAGTGGGCGTTACATGGTGTAATTGAAATCCGGGTTTTCGTTCTGTGCAGAAATGAAC